AGGGCAAGAAATGTTTAGCTGAGCTGTGTTGGAGGAGTATGGCAATATTTTAATGTGTAGGATGAGAGTTTGAAGAGTGATAAGTTAACACGAGAAAATTACTTGAGCGATCGCAACTAATGAGGTGACAATTTATGTCATTCTGTATCAATCATTGCAAGATTTCACTTACCTTGTAACGCAGCTTAAGCTTGATGCATGATTTAAGCTTGTTAAATTATTAAATTATATAAAAATAATTGTGATTTATCACCCCATATATGTTGCGAGAATAAATTATTGATGCAGAAGTAGAACAGCCAGTTACTATGGCCATAGTAACTGGCTGTTCTACTTCTGTATCAATAATTTATTCTTGCAACAACTCTTTTAAAACACAGGTGCTATGCATGTGAAAATTTCATATTTTACAGTCACTGATTGGGTTGACAACTGACAAGGTATTTAAAAAGAAGACAGTAGCATAGGATTTGGAAAAAATCTACTTCATGTACCAATTATTATTGCATCAGATATTTACCCTCTTTTCAATTGGTGGATAACGCATTTACAATTGGTTTTATTATACTTTTGGAGGACTTTTATAGGTTTCATCACCTTTTGAACAAGAAGAATGAGGACTTCTCACAACTTAGCCAGTCGATTCCTGAAAAGCGTAGAGCAGTATTTCGAATTAAGCTCTTGTTCTCACTCTAGAATCACAAAACTGAGTGGAAATTTTCAATATAATATAGTAGGACATAAGGTAAGAGTTTAAGTAAAAAAACGCTTCACTCACGTGACATGCTTCCTGTGACCCACGTGACTGTGATATTAATTATTTTGTGTCACGTGATGTGTCACATGGTCACATGACCGGCCAATCAGATGCCAATGTGATAGTTAATTGGCAATTATAACACATTAGGTTGTTGTGATAAGAAGTCACGTGACTCGTGGAATAGTTACTTTATAGTGGATGGTATGTCACGTGACAACATGATCACATGGGTATGCAATCAAATTTCAACCCCAAAGTTAATTGATGATTATAACACTATTAATTAACTGGATCATATTTAATTTGTTATCAGGGTCCCTACAAATTGGTAATTATAGCACTTTGATGATCAGGTTGAGTTTGGAACATACAATCTCTATCTTTTGAAAGGGTGATATAACAATAGAAGGAAGTTGACACCTGTTCGTTAGTGGCTCCATGCAGAACACCTGCTTGATGGGATACACTTGTCCACGCTACTAGTCAACTTGATCATACTTTTAATCCTATGTACAAGTATATTGTAACATGAGGATGATCTTGGACTCTTTCTGTTTTTTATTGGGTAGTCAATCAGTAAACCAATCAAGCAGGTGTTCTGCAGGAGCCCACCAATGAACAGATGGCACTTTCCTTCTACAATACTAAAGGCAAAAGTTATATTTATATAGGAGGAAATTATAAAATATTTCCTTGTGTTTTACAAAAAACCCTGTACTGTTGTTTGTGTTATAAAAGGATTAAAAAGCAGAAGAAGAAGAAATAATATTCATTTCTCATTTGTTACATTGACCTTTGGTGCTGTTTTATCTGCTCTGATAAAATGACTAATCATGACAATTGGTTGGGTTATCTAGTCTCAGTGTTTATCAACCAAACTATGGTTCAATCCAAAGAATGCTGCCCAGGATGTCACGATCAGAAAAACTCACCACTTCTTCATGCTCATCATCATTCAGGTCTCTTGGAGAAACTTATCATGTTTCACCCTCTTACAAAAGAAACAATGTTATCAAAGATGAATGATTTAGTTTCAGATTATGTAAAAAAGTTTCCCAACCCTGAAATTTATGATGAGGCTGGTCAAAAAGTATTGAGAACAATTGGCAAAGACTTTTTGATTCAGAGCAACCCGACATTCATTTACTACAGTCACTATCTTACACCAGAACGTGATGAACATCTCAATGCTATTCCAATATTTTACATGAAACCCATAAACATGAAGCGAGCTGCAGCAAAAATGACTAAGAAACAACCAAACAGGAAAAGAGTTAAGAAACAAAACTTTGAGCCAAAAATGGGTATTTAAACAATCGAATTTTAGTGATAAACATCATTGTAAAAATGTTTGAGATTATTGCAACCATTTTTTATACTTCTAACCTACTAGCTTTCAACAATTCGCTGCATTTTAATGTTTGTGGAATGCCTAATGATGCAAACTATATTTACCTGGATTCCAATGAAATTTTGTTTGGAGTTGTGGAAGATAGATCCATAGCCCACTACAATTACTCACTATCTGATATATGCCTGTCCAATTCAATTATATACTAACCCCATACATTTTCTAGATTTCGAGTCATACATCAAGCAGATGGATCAAACGGATGACTCAAATGTACAGGTTTGAATACTAGTAATACTTTTATAAATGCTGTAAATAGCCATTAAGGTTTCTATGGATTTTTTAATAGATGTAGAAACAAGGTTAATATTCGATGATCTTATATTATAATTCATTCAGGCAACTAGAAAGGTTAAGGAACATGAAGCTTGTGGGTTCGCGTACAAGGTGGTAACCCCATTTGAGTCCTACCAACAATCTGTAGTTGTGTACAGAGATGACGGAAGAGGTGGTGTGGCCAACGTATTTGTGGCCATGATGTATGAGGAATACGATCGGTTGCACGACCTAATCTGGGCGGATGAGCCCATGACTCCTCTAACGGATGAGGAGAAGCAGGCATTTGCTTCAACCAGATCCTGCTATCTTTGTCACAAACTCCTTGTTGATAAGGATAAAGTAAGAGACCATTGCCACTACACGTAAGTGAAATACCACACTTTTTATTAATATCGTTTTTATTAGTTTTATTTTATTTAAAATTTTTGATACCTTCAGGATATCACCAAACTCATTAGATTTATAACGTTATTTTATATTTTCAGGGGGAAGTATTTCGGAGCTGCACATAGTCTGTGTAATATGAAAAGGGAGACGGATAAACATCTAACAATTGTCTTCCATAATTTTAAGGTAATTCTACTATATATATATATATCAATCAAAATAGAGACAATGATGGGATTTAAATTCACACTTCATAGTAACACAATTATTGTTATATCCCTAAATTTCATATTTTTTTAACAGGGCTATGATGTGCACTTTGTAATCAAAGCACTCGGAAACATGGAGGATGATCTATGCAACATCAAAATCATCCCAAATAACTTCGAGAAATACGCATCAGTGTCAACGAGAAAGTTTAGGTTTGTCTCAATACTTTTCATTTTTATGATGAAATATGAAATAATAGCTGTGAATTAATTTTTAAATCTATATTCTTGCTAATCAGAACATTGAAATAATCACAAAAATTCGGGTTCTAACCAATGCAAATGGAAACCCCGCTGCTAATGCCAACTTATCAGTGGTTTCCAATCTAGCCAATGCTATTTGGAGGTCAGTTGATGTTGTGATAGGAGAACAAAACCTGCTACAAAGTTTTGATAATAGCTACAACATTGGTTCTTGGTTTGATATTAGCATAAACACTTCTCAAGAGCGTTCACCCTACCTTTATCATAATGAAGGGTTTTATATGGACACTGGGGTGACAAAAGCAGAGACGGAAAACACAGTTATATACCCTGTAGCTGATGCACATGGGAACACTCCTGCTATCAATAAAGGTCTGAAAACTCGAGCAGATTTAATTGACCAGGGAAAAAGTTGTACTCTGATTTCTGATCTGAACTGCAGTTTGTTGAAAACAGGTAAACTACTACCTAGTAATCTTGATGTGAGGGTATCACTAACAAAAAACTACGATGGATTTGTTTTGTTAGAAGCTACTGCTGGAACTCACAAGATAAAGTTTGATAAATGCTATCTCAGAGTAACTTTGCAGCAACCAACTGACTTTTGTCTCAATTTGATGGAACAGAAGCTCTTAAAAACTCCAGCTATTTATCAAGCAGAAGAAGGAAAGGTGAGTTTCCACTCTATACCAGCTGGTAATGAACTAGTCACCATCAACAACCTGTTCCCTCAAGGCAGTCTACCAATAATGTTCACATTTGGAGTTCAGGACAGATCTGCTTATGGAAATACGCGTAACAAAAATCCTTATACATTCCACCCTATGAAAAAAGCTCAAATTTATGTGGATGGGAAACCATACTTTACTAGTGCTCTAGATGGTGCTGTTATGCATTTTGACTCATTTTATCAAACTATTGGCTATAAAACAACTGGAGATTGTCAAATTGACCCAATCAACTACATGGTGCATCCTCTACTTTCTATAGATTTAACTGCAGATAGGAATGCTAATAGACATCATTTGAATATAAGTCGAAGTGAAGTAGTGAAACTGGATATTGAATTCACAGATCCAGTTCCAGACGGACGTATTCTAGTGGTATACTCATACTACGATAGAATCATTGAAATTAATTCTGATCGCAGTGTTAAAGTAATATGAGTGATGTACGGGGGTTGGGGACTAAGGAGATTGATGAGTATTTGAGAAGCAGCAGCAAGTTTAAGGGTGCATATCCATGTGATCAAATCCCTAATTTTTCAGATAATGAATATTCAATAATAATTAATGTTGATAATTCATTCTTATCTGGTTCACACTGGACTGCTTTGGTTGTTAGAGGAAATAACGTTTATTATTTTGATAGTTTTGGACGGTTATATAATAATAGTTCATTTCCAACAGATTATATTGAGAATTTAGGTAAAATTTGTTTCTCCAAGAAGATTGTGTTTCAAAATAAAGTTTTACAAAGTTTCCATAGTAATACATGTGGTGAATTTTGCATTTATTTTATTAAACAGCTTGAGAAGAATGTCAAATTTCCAGAGATATTTCGTGGTTTTACAGTGAATTTAAATTCAAACGAAAGAATTAAATTGTAGTGATTAACGGTTTATAATATTTTTTCATTTTATTTTCAAAAAATTTTTTGTTTTATTTTGACAAAATCAATGACATCATATGGCGGGTAAAAAGATTAAAAAACTTAAAAAATCATATACGATTCAAATACATAATAGCGAAATAAAGTCAAATCTCTAACACAAACATCAAATTATATTTACAATTCACATAATATCAAATTATCAAATTATTTACACTAAAAACGTTTGTCAACTGCAAACAACTTCACTACTCAGTGGTGTTCAGGTAATGACCGTGAGGACGAGTGGTAACCCCATCTTCCAGAATCCATCGTTTGTCGTCATACCGCGTCAAACCAACCTTACACTGGTCGACTGTGTATATGGTGTGGTTCTTGGAGCGGAATGTCATCTGGTGGATGTAGTGATCTTCTGGGGACGTCTCTGTCTCATTGATCACAACTGGACCCTGCAAGATTTTTCTGTAGAGCCCATGATGTAGCTCTCTGTCTTTGACACACTTCTTAACCCCGGCCGCAGTGCTTTTCTGCTTGCCGTTCTCCTTGTCATCTATAAGGATTGAGTACATCTTAGAGCGTAGTCCTGAAAAAATGTATAGTTATTTTTTTTTTAATTTTTATTAAAGATGATATAGCAGTGTACTTCAATATGTAAATGAACAGTATCAGATTGAGTTATAATATAAAGTAAACAAATTAGAACCATGACAAGAATTAAAAACTAACCTATAAACTCTATTATGATCCAACCCTCAGCCTCATCCTTGAACTTGCCAATAACTGCTTTATTCTCATTTGAGAACAGCGGATGATCTTCCGCTAGGTTTGAAAAGTCAAAATAACTCTTCAACCTGACCAAGTGTTCACTGTACAAATTTGTACACTTGATATGGTAGAGGAATGAATCCGTGTCCGTAAAACAGAGTACTGCTTCAGGGAAGTTTGGTTTCATTACCTCGTAGTGAAACTTGTACATGAGCAGTTTTGACAGCTCAAGGACAGTGAAACCAACATAGATTGGCTTATCCAAGGTAATGGTAGTCTGGGCTACCTCCACCCCTACGAGATTCTCATCAAAGATTTCGAATCTCTTAAAGGTGGGTTTGGAGGTTTGCCAGGCATGACTCCTTCCCTTGTTGACGAGCACAATCTTCACTCTCTTCCTCACATTCTCCATAGTCTTCCCAAAGAGGGCATTGTTAAGGAGCTTATAGTAGTCCTTTTCAAACTTATCCACTGCAGCCTGTCTGAGTCTAGTATTTTCTGCTATATACGGAGCAATCCAAGCTTCTTGTCGAAACCGAATTGCTCGACGTACGTTTTTGAGCACAACACCTTGACTCAGATAGAACTGGAGGTTTCTAAGGTGAATAACATATGCCATCTTCGGGAAGAAATTGGGAGCAAGTTTGGTCGAGCTGAAGTCATTTCCACACCCTCTTTGGACTCTTATCTCCCTGAAACAAATAGTGGGTGATGAATAAAGATGTTGATGTAGATCACGAGTTTCCTAAAATGTTACTATTGATAATTTGATTAACTTATATAACTTATTTCCCCCCCACTTTAGATGTAATAAAACTTCAAGAACTAACCATGATTTGGGGGAAATCATATCTTTGTTGATTTCCAATCTTTCTGGACACAGTGGGTAGTCACTGGTATGATCGTGAATATCTTGAGGGATCTCAAGATCGACCTCGAAAATATACCCTTGTCTACCATCAGGATTGAGAGCCATTATGTCTTCCTTGGTCATGTTGGTAGCAATACTCTCCTCAACCCAATCAAACTGGTCAATCGGTACAGGTTCAGACATTGCATACCCATACAGATTCTGAAAGGTTGATTATTCTATTTATCATGATTATAAAGTGTTAATTAGTTCTAATATAAAAATGTTAATAAATCATGACTCTTTAAAAAAAAAAAAAAAAATAAATAAATAAATAAATAAATAAATAAATAAATAAAATAAAGAAAAGAATGAAATGTACTAACGTTGGCGTCAATATACAACAGATGTGATTCTTCTTTGGCCGGATCAAAGTTGGTCATCTGTGGGTTGTTTGCCACAGCATGACGGTGTGAAATGACACTGATGCCACCTGATGATTAGAAGAAAAATGTTAAAATTATTCACCTAATATTTCCTCTGTTATTTCATTACAATCAAACTTATCATTGAACTATAAAAAAAGTTTGAAATTCTCAAGATCATTAAACAAACCTCTAATACCAGACTCAAGCATCTGGAGCATATCAATATCCTTTACAATCTGCAGTCTTTTCTTGGATGTTTTCAGACATGCATCGAATGTAAGTGAGGGTAGGGATATATATGCCAGAGCTTCCAAACCCATCCTATCCCAGCACATCTTTCGATATCTCTCTATGATATCCGCCAGCAACAGCACGTCCGACACAACATATCTGTAGATTTACAAAAAATTAAAACTCTGAGATGATAGTTTATATTAATCTCGTGATTCTTTGAAAATTTTACTATTCCTTGCATTTAATCCTCAACAGATATTCAAATCAAATAAACTTACAGGTCATGTAGATCTCCCAATGTGTTCATCCCAAAGGCTTCCCAAACTGTTTCAACATGTTGGTAGTCTTCATTGGAGAGTTCATCTCCTGTAAGCTCATTCTTGAAAGCAGCTTGCGTAGGGAGTCCTGATAACATTTAATTATGTTAGCTAATCATGTATTGTGTATAAAACTGGAGGAATGATAATAACTTTTTATGTGTCTATATAAAGCCTGTAGTTTAATAAATCAATGTTATAGTAAGGTAAACAAACCTTCATTAAACTTTGCAGACTCATCCATATAAGAGTAGGGGTAGACCCCTTTCCTTGTAAGAAGTTCAAATTTCTCCTGACTCCCTTCGTGGTGAGCATCTATATAATCTTTGGTGTGTTTAAGATTATCTAGACCTCTTGTGACCAGGTTCTTCGTTAGAGAGTCAAGAGAAGTTGACAGATGTTGTAGTGAGTCTATAAATCTGAAATATATAAGTTTAAATATATTTTCATTAGCAAGAATATAGATTTAAAAATTAATTCACAGCTATTATTTCATATTTCATCATAAAAATGAAAAGTATTGAGACAAACCTAAACTTTCTCGTTGACACTGATGCGTATTTCTCGAAGTTATTTGGGATGATTTTGATGTTGCATAGATCATCCTCCATGTTTCCGAGTGCTTTGATTACAAAGTGCACATCATAGCCCTGTTAAAAAAATATGAAATTTAGGGATATAACAATAATTGTGTTACTATGAAGTGTGAATTTAAATCCCATCATTGTCTCTATTTTGATTGATATATATATATATAGTAGAATTACCTTAAAATTATGGAAGACAATTGTTAGATGTTTATCCGTCTCCCTTTTCATATTACACAGACTATGTGCAGCTCCGAAATACTTCCCCCTGAAAATATAAAATAACGTTATAAATCTAATGAGTTTGGTGATATCCTGAAGGTATCAAAAATTTTAAATAAAATAAAACTAATAAAAACGATATTAATAAAAAGTGTGGTATTTCACTTACGTGTAGTGGCAATGGTCTCTTACTTTATCCTTATCAACAAGGAGTTTGTGACAAAGATAGCAGGATCTGGTTGAAGCAAATGCCTGCTTCTCCTCATCCGTTAGAGGAGTCATGGGCTCATCCGCCCAGATTAGGTCGTGCAACCGATCGTATTCCTCATACATCATGGCCACAAATACGTTGGCCACACCACCTCTTCCGTCATCTCTGTACACAACTACAGATTGTTGGTAGGACTCAAATGGGGTTACCACCTTGTACGCGAACCCACAAGCTTCATGTTCCTTAACCTTTCTAGTTGCCTGAATGAATTATAATATAAGATCATCGAATATTAACCTTGTTTCTACATCTATTAAAAAATCCATAGAAACCTTAATGGCTATTTACAGCATTTATAAAAGTATTACTAGTATTCAAACCTGTACATTTGAGTCATCCGTTTGATCCATCTGCTTGATGTATGACTCGAAATCTAGAAAATGTATGGGGTTAGTATATAATTGAATTGGACAGAATCAATTTATAGTATCACTTTATAAACATTAATAAGTTTATCAAACTGAAAAAAAAAAAAAAAAAAAGTTACGATGTACATTATAAATTTTGTGATTCTGTTACCTGCCACTATGTATACAGGCGACTGTACCATCTTATCATAACCCTTGAAATAGAGTACATCCTCATCAGGGAATTTGATTCCCTGCGGCTTAAACCGAATGCAACTCTCCTCATGTTTGATGAGGTTGCTTAGTTTTTTAAAACCATGAAAACACCTGTAATGTAAATGAATATTTGAATATATTTTGTTAGTGTGAAGTAACAGCAATTATGGATATAACATAATTTTTTTTTTTATTAATTTTTTAATTTTTTAATTTTTAGAAATTTAATTCATTACCTCTGACAATGGTGTTTTGAATTCCTCCCCTTCATCAGCAGGGCATTCAACGATTTGATGAGCACGAAGTGTGTGGTATCACCGTTAGTTAATACCATCACGTTGACTGTGGGGAGCGTAGGGTCGTCTATTGGTGAAACTCGTACTGGGTAAAATGGCTCGCCTGCTGCCTCCTTGCAGTCATCATAGGCAGCCACATTTATCCTTACACTGAAAATGCAATCGTGTTGGATATAGGTCAACTTATGATTTCTGAAACTAAACTTAGCATATGAAAATAAGCATAGGAAAATTCAAAGAATTAAATTTATGGTTAAAATAATGTGATAGACTAACTTGTTCATCCGCTCGAATTTCCCAATCTGCTGCATGGTGATTGGCCATGTTATGCCATCCTCCTTCATCTCACTCTCGAACTGTTTGTAGTAACTCAGTTCACTGGCGTTACCGTCTTTTCGTGGATAAGGATGCTTTTTTGCAATGACACACCACAGTAAACATCTGATGGATAATAATTATGGGATTTATATTACTAATACATAATATTGTGATCTTAATCCAACAATATGTTTGAAGAAAGAAAATCATTTAAACCTTAAATAAACTTCACAGTCACTAACCTGTTATCCTTGTTCTTAATGTTGAGGAATGCTTGTTTCTTCTTCCTTAACGCAGGAGGCAGCGGAAAATGCTTACCAATTCGCATTGGTGTATATTTCGTGATGAAAAGGTGTGTGCACTTGAGCCCTTTCACTGCCCATCCCGATCCTAAGGTAAATAGATTAGAATTATGATTAAGCAGAATATTCTCTTAAAATAGAATTTTTAATTATTATTATACATATTTTATTTTTTCGTGTGGTGATGATGGAGGTAATTATAGCTGTTATAGTATAACCTGATTAACTCACCATTTCTAGTAAAATTTGTGATTTGCACGGCAATTATATCAATCTGCCGTGCTAGTTCTTCCTCGAGGTTGGTGGATTCCAGAAGCTCTGTAGCGGGTGTGCGAAACGGTTGCTGCCCCTCTTCAGGTCCAGTGAGTTTACACAAAGCGACCTCGATGCTAAGGTAGAACTTGGCAGCACGGTAGAAGTCCAGTTGGATTCTATAAAAAATTGTAGTTTAATAGTTAATAACCACAATGTAGTTGCTGTTATAAGAACTGGAGTTATAAGCATAAGTTCGTTTAAAATACTTCTATCACTTACCTAAGAATATCTGCTATTCTCTCAGCTTCATTCTGCAGAATTTCGGCTACTGCAGGCGATTCTGATGAAATGTTCAAATCTATGATCTTGAACAAGCCGTTCATGGCAGAGCTTGTCCCCTCCGGATCTTGGTGATCATGAGAAGGCCCTGCTCCATCAGTTCTTCGCCGTTTGGGTTGGGGGCGTGGAAAACCACAGCGAGGACGGTGTTGATCACGTGCACGTCCGGTGCTAAACTTTTCTCCGCAATCAGGGCACGGATACCTATAATTAAGCAAATTATATATATATATTTTTTTTTAAACAGAAAAAACGAAAATTGCTGGTTTTAAAAAAAACTATAGTTTATCGTTGAGAAAGAATAGAAATATTTAAAAAATAAATAAAAAATTACAAACCATTTTCGCTGACAGTTCAGGAGATGTTCTGTTAAAGCTGCTCCATTAAGCTCGATGTCAACACAACATACAGGACAAAAATGTCCTGTTCCAATGCAAGTTTGCAAGTGACGTCTGTAGTTTCCATAAGTCTCAGATTTATTGCATCGAGCACAAAAAATTTCACGAACCATGATTAAATGTGGTAAACAAGGTAAACAGCTTGAGCAAATGAATCAAGTTGATCGGAATAATATGGAAAATGAAATTTTTGTTCGTATTTAAGCTCGAATCTATTAAAAATTACTTAGCACTCTTATCTATTGTAATTGGCAATTTACTATCAGACTGGGAGCTGATTGGATGATAGATAATCACGTGAGACATGCTTGTAACTTGAGTATCCATGAGACACCCTATGACAGTAATTCACTTAACTTATGTCCTGGAGTACTGATAACAAATTAAACATAGTAACGAGAGAGTTTATTAATCATCCATATAATTTATCAAATTAATTATTAATTGTTAGGCAATACTAAACTAATTGAAGTATGAGATAATCCTAAAACCATTTAATGAGGATGTGTATAAATATATGGAAATTGTATAATGAAACATCAACTTCACTATCTGTTTAACTTCAAATCTTCAGTTCGCCAGTGATATTTCAATTTTCAACATGTGTTGTATACTTTGTTTCGCCGACATTGTGATAGAAGGAAGAGTATTCTCTGAGACCTGCTACCATACATTCTGTTATACCTGTATACGTCAGAGGATTCGGGAAAACTATAACACTTGCCCGATATGCCTATCAACGATTACAGGGTTGCAGAAACTTGACGGTATCACAGGAGAGCTTTTAGGTAAAAAGAAACTGGTATCTGCAGTCAGAATGAACCACATCGATGCTCCAAAGCCAGTCTATGCCATGAAACTGATACCTGCAGTCAAGATGAACTACACCGATGCTCCTGAGCCAGCCTACGCCATCGACCATATCAACTTTCTCTGGGAGAATAGACGAGTTCTATGGGAGAATAGACGATTCCGACAACGTAGATTGAGACGTTGTCGGAGACAGCTCAAGTATCCTTGCTGAATATAGTTAACAAATATAATATTTAATTTAGATATAACATTTAATTTAGATGATATTTGTTATCAAATTGACTAGTAGCGTGGACAAGTGTATCCCATCAAGCAGGTGTTCTGCATGGAGCCACTAACGAACAGGTGTCAACTTCCTTCTATTGTTATATCACCCTTTCAAAAGATAGAGATTATAAGTTCCAAACTCAACCTGATCATCAAAGTGCTATAATTACCAATTTGTAGGGACCCTGATAACAAATTAAATATGATCCAGTTAATTAATAGTGTTATAATCATCAATTAACTTTGGGGTTGAAATTTGATTGCATACCCATGTGATCATGTTGTCACGTGACATACCATCCACTATAAAGTAACTATTCCACGAGTCACGTGACTTCTTATCACAACAACCTAATGTGTTATAATTGCCAATTAACTATCACATTGGCATCTGATTGGCCGGTCATGTGATCATGTGACACATCACGTGACACAAAATAATTAATATCACAGTCACGTGGGTCACAGGACGCATGTCACGTGAGTGAAGCGTTTTTTTACTTAAACTCTTACCTTATGTCCTACTTAATATGATATTCTATCTTTGGAGGTAGCTAGAGGGAGCTGTGTTAGAGTGAAGCTGCTCATTTCTGCTGCATGGATGAATAGCCATAATGATAAAAGTAAACACTAATTACATTAATACCCTAATTTACTGAAAACCCTGATTTACTGAACCTCTTCTCTTTTAAATTATCAAAGAATTAATCAAAACAGATTATGATAAGGGAATACAAATTTTAAGGAATACAAATTTTAATTTTGATCTTTATTACAGATTATACATATCATAGATATCCATAAATGCCGCGCGCAAGCTGATTTCCTCAATTTGGATTAATGATTTCATTCTATAAAATTTTAAAAACAAAATAAGTGCTCATTGCAGGGCATGCTTGTCTCAACCTATTGGGCGAAGGAGGTATGTGCGCCATACAAGGGCACTCGCACCCCTGTGCTGCGCCATACAAATGGTCCACAAAACCCCACATCAGGCACAAAGCTCTGTGAAATCCGGGCGGGAGCCTATGCGAACCTGGGAATATGACACCTTATAAAGCTCTAACTTGATACGAGGAAGATTTTGATTTTTGATAAATGTCAGTTAATCCTAATTTAAACAATTATGGCCCCTTATTGTGTCAAATGTGTCCTATCAATAAAGTTATGCTCTTTGTTGAGGTGATGAGATAAAGATAACGGATTTCACCGGTTTAA